GGGTGTTGTATGGGGTCGCCGGCGAAAAACAAGGAGTTGGGGGCCCGAGTGGTCGATTTTTGCTCGCCGGCGCTCAAAAATGGCTTAGAAAGGCTTCTTGGGGCACTAGTAAAGATGCTCTTAGCTGTCTTATGTCTCTTCGTCTAAGTTGTATTACATGTTAATTGTAGCCAAAATAAGATTAGTGATATCTAACTAAATTTGCTCGTTACTAGCAGGTCTGACCTCCAGATGCCTTGGAACTAGTTGCGATTGACTATATGAACTTTGATGATGAGCAATACAATATTTTCATCCGAAAAAAAGAAAAGAAAAAACGTACACATACATGCTCGTGCGTACATATCGGTCCATCGTCTAGGCGATCGACTACGCGCGAGAAAAGAAAAGGAACGAGAAAACCGATCGATCATATCAGCTGCCATGCAAACGTAAGGCTCCGTTTCTGGAATTAATACTTCACGCCGTTCCAGCACGCAAACGCATCACCAAACCGCCGAGCCAAGTTGCGCCTGCCTGCGTCGATCCATCCCGTCGTCACCTCTCACATGGCGTTTGACATGTGCACTTCATCCCAGCAGAAATTCAGCCTACGCCGCTCATCATCTGACCTGACAGGCTGACCTTATCGTTTTCTTCTTCTTCCTCTGTACCCGATCTGGACTTTTCTCACGGTCAAATCAAGCTACGCCTTCGCTTCTCCGGCGGCCTTCCCGGGTGACGCACTCGTCGGCGGCCGAGTTTGTTTACGTCCGGACGCGGTGGCGGTGGCCAATCGAAAGTCGCACCGCCACCGCCACGTAAAGCCGGCGAAGGTTCAGGGAGAGAGAGGAAGAGGAGAATCGAGAGGGTGCATGTGAGGAGCAATCACGTACACGGGGGCTTTGGTCAGTCAGAGGGTGGTCTCCTCCTCACTTTGGCGCCGAACGAGGCGGGCGGCGATGCACAGGGGAATGTCTTTTTGGCATCGGGCAGCCAGCCAGCCAGCCCCAAAGTGCGCAGTTGTACCAAGGCAGCAATGCCGCTACAGTGCCATGCTCGATTGTAGTAGTACACCCTCCGGTTTTCTAGTCTGCATATAAATTTTGAACGAGTCAAAGTATCTATACCTTGATCAAACTTATAGAAAGAATATCAACATTGATAATCCTAAATCAACATTGTTAGATTCAGTACGAAATGTAGTCTCATAGTATATATATTTGATATTGTATATGTTAATAATTTTTAATATATATTTGATCAAATTTTAGAAAGTTTGATTTGACACAAATTTAATATGCGGAGTAAAAAATACCGGAGGGAGTATTTGTAAGTCCGATGCAAACCGCAAACGGTCAGATGGCATTCTTCAACCTTCAGCTCTCCACAATGTCCATCTTCTGCCCCAAAACCGCACACCGGCCGAACCGTTTGCCTTTACAATCTGTGGCTGGTGGCGCCGGCCTCGCCGCCCGCCCTGCCCTTTCCTCACCGCCGTGCTAGCGCCACCCCTGGCAATCCCTGTAGACCGATGAACCACCCGAATTTCCCGGCAAACCTGCAACCCCAGACCCCAAGCCGTTACCAAGATTTGCATTTCTTCGACATGAAAGACTTGTATTTCACATTTCCATGGCGTGATCACGTTGTCAATTATGGATTTATGGTCCAAATGTTCAGAAACTAAAATCCATGCCCTGGTCATAGTACACACATCTACATGCATGCGATTAGCTCTATCTTTTAGCGCATTAGTAGGAGTACTAATTAATCATCATGATGCATAGTTTAGTGTGCACATACATGCAGTGGAGAAAGTTTTCGGGGGTTGGACAAGAAAAGTGAACTTTCAGTGCTGTGCTGTGCATGCATGCAGCATCGTTACTAGTAGCATGCATGCAAAAAGTTCGGCAATGTCAGAATTCAGATAGACAAAAGCTCACACCTTCCCTTCATTTTCTTTTCTTTTAACACAGTACACGCGCAAGCGCTGACATACATGTGCATACACTCATCTCTATGAACGCATACACACATACTCTATCCGTATGAACATCTTCAAAAGACTGAGCCGACATATCAACTTGAAATTTACGAAGTCACCGCAGGCACCTCGTCATCGATGGGAACATCTGCTCTCACGGAATGCGCATTGCCGGAAATTCTAAAATAAATTCAGAAATAAATGCGAGCACCACAGTCCCTCTAACCATCCAACCACAGGTTGGTTTACCCGGTCATTTTCTTGTATTATTAAGCTTTACGCATCATCTCCGAAACAAGGTGATTAGCAAGCCATCAATCTTAGTACATGAACTGCATGCACACACTAGCTAGCTACCTAGATAGAATTCATCCATGATTGCAAGTTACAGTGCTTTTCATCAATTCCTAAGTGTACAAATCACACATTTTTATTCCTGTCAACGTATGGTAAATCTGAACACTTTACTATCAATCAATCCATCCTTCATGAAACGCCAGATCGATCGAGGCATCTGGATGGATATACTTCGATCTCATGTCACCACAGTGACATCAACACAGCAACTTGTGTTCTTGTTACAACTGCATGTTCATGTTCCTACTGGATCTCACGTAGCCAGCGACGCCGTCTCTCCCGAAGGAGAGTACGGTGCTGCCGCCGCCGCCGATGCCACGGGCCGAAGGGTTGAAATTCCTTCCCGTGTACCGTTGCACCAACGAGTACCGGCCGTCGTCGTCACCGCCGGCGCCGCCCCCGCCGCCTAGGCTTTCCAGGGCCGCGACCTGCGACTTGAGGAACTTGAGGTAGCTGGCCGCCTCGTCGAGCATGGACGCCGTGTCCATCTTGCTCCCTCCCGGCACCAGCCTCTGCAGCGCCCGCAGCCGCTCGCTCACCTTCTCCCGCCGCAGCCGCGCCGCCACCGTCTGCGGGTCGCTCGATATCCGCACGTTCTTGCGCCGCCGGGGCTTCGACGACGACGGCTCATGCGGCGTCTCTCCGGCGGTGGCGTCGGTCAAGCTGGGCAAGGGGCGCATCGCCGCCGCGCGGTAGATCATCTCCTTGACCTGCGCTATCGCCTCCTTGTCCGGCTCGTACCCGCGCCGGCCGCCGCTGTGCCCGAACGTGATGCTGGTCGTCGGCGCGGCGGCTCGGTTCGTGCCCCAGCGTTCTCTGCCCTCCACCGTCGTCGCCGCCGCTGCCGGGAGCTTGTCCGGCATCTTGTTCCCATTCGTTGGGGGCGGGGCCACCTGACTAATCTGCTGCACCCGCCGCGACGACACGGCGCATGGCGGCGACGCAACCTCCGTATCGTGCCCGCCACCGCCGTACGTGTTGGACTCGCCGGAGGAGACGTTCCCACCGCCGACGCCTCCGGTGGTGGTGCTGTACCCGGAGAAGGCGGTGTTGGAGCCGGCAGCCTGCGCGGGATCATCAGGGACGAACGCGAACCTGTCATGGAGCCCATCATGCGCGCCGGCGATAGCCGGGAGGAAACAACCCGCCGAGTCGAGAAAGACGTTGGACGACGCGTCGCCGTCTCCGTGGCCGGGAAGCGCCACGCCGTCCTGGCACCGCAGGAGGCTGAGGTCGCTCTGGCACGACGGCAGGTCGAGGCCGCCGTGGTAGGCGTCGGAGCACACGGTGCCGTCGCCGGCGCCGGCGGAGTGGAGCTCCTCGAAGCTGCCCGCGCCCAGGAAGGCGGCGAGGAGGGCGTCGTCGGTCGGGCAGCTCGGCACGGTCGTCACAGGAGGCTGCGTGCTCCAGCCGAAGGCGTCCATGTACTGCACGTGTGCCGCTGCCTCCGGCCGGCAAGCCTCTCAGCTCGATTCTCTAGTTGTGCTGCGAATCGCACTGCCCTTGCTGGTTATGTTGCTAGTTGCTATCAAGCTAGCGGTAGATGCTCATGCTACTGGTGCAGCACTGCAAGCAAATAAGTAGTTCATTGAAGTGAGCTTGATTGCACCGGTAGATAATCGATGAGAAACAATTAAGCTGGCATGCATATCAGCATCGAATTCCTCCAAGCAATTAACGACGATTAATAAGCTCGAAGCTAACACGAACACAGCTGCAAAGCCTCCTTTTCCGACCAAATGAACACAGCAAGATGAACACAGATTAAGCCCTAAGCATGGCAACTAGCAAACCAACATCAAGAAAAGCAAGCCATGAATTCATTCATGGTGGTAGGGGCACACACACGGCTACAGTACCTGAATTAACTTGGGCTGGCTGCACCGGCCGGTGGATCGGTCGATCTGCGAAAGATTCTCGATTGCTGGGGACGACGAAGTGCAAGTGTGCCGCGCAGCTAGCTGCTGGGAATAGGATGGTCCTCCTCCTGCGGACGGATGGGCGTCGTCTTTTTATAGCCGGCCTCAGCCGCGTAGCTGGCCTGCAGATTTGTTTCTTTTTCCGTCGGGGAAAAAGGAAGAGAAGCCGTTTTCTCTCTCTTTTCTTTCCTGCATTCTGTAGGGGGCGGTTTCGGTTGGCGGACAGCAGAGTGCTTAGCGTGCACCGGCGATCGATGCGCGTCACACGTACGTGCACATTCACATGTACTACGTTTTTTTTTCTTCTTTATATAAAGGTTCATCAGAAATGCAAGCATCTAAAAGATAGTTAAAAAGTTGCATCAAGGTTCCTGAAACGCCGAACGATCGCTACTGACGCGTCGTTGTTGTCGTTCCCCTATCAGAGCCGGTCTGACCTTGTTGATGGCAGCCAGGAAGCCTTCGTGCACGTACTCTAAGGACCGGCGTCACAGAGATGCAATCGTTGCCATTGAACCCTTGAAACAATCCAAGGCATCTGACACCAAATCTCATCGTTGTGCATGCACGAAGAGAAACCCAAGAAGACGGTGGGAATCTATGCCGAAGCTCCGTCAACTTCGTCATGAAGGACGAATTCGAGGAGGATCAGAGCCCAAAAATCAGCTCGAAGATGAAGTGTCGCCTCTAAGAGGAAAAAAAAACTAACCTGAACTACTAGGCAGAGCCGAGGCACCGTGATTTCTTCCCCGACATCGTTTGTTGGAGTGACATGCAAAGAGAGGCGGATCCACGGGCTTGCGGATCCACGGGCTTGCGAATGAAAACTGGAGGGGACGAGTTTGTCCTAGCCGCCACGAAATACAGGAACAGATATTCTCTGTCCACACTAATCGTGTGTTAAAAATCTGGAAAATGAATATGGCTGCGCTTTCAATTGGGTATAAACTGTTTCAACACTTCGCCAAATGTACTGGGTATAGAACCGAGGTTGTCAATTGAAAGCGCTTTTTTTACATGGAACTATTTTCAAATACTACCAAATAAAGGAAGGGATTAAAAACAAGTTTTTGAAGTTTTCATTAAAAAATACTAGGTAATTCAAATAAGTATGTGAAATATGTTAAAAAGTTCGTGTTTTTTTAAATACATATGAGAAAATAAATTTTTAGATAATTAAATTTGTACAAAATTTTGGAACATAATTTATCATAGAAACTAATAAAAATAGAACATTCCTGCAAGAAAAAAAATAGTAGGAAATTTAAATATGAATATTCCATAAGATTACTAAAGAATCAAGACATTTCTAAAAGAAATCATCTCAAATTTTATAAAGATGAAGCCTTCATTGAAATCCATGTGTTTTCCACATTATTTTTGGATAATGTTCAGCAAATTGGAGTAATTATGTTTTCTCCTAATTTTCATCCTATATTATCGCTTTTCCTTCTTGGCCATTACCTATAGTTTATGTGATGATTGGGCTTCCATGTGTGCTAAAGAATCCGACACATCATTAAAATGGGGGTCTCTATTCGAGTTATGTGAGGATTTTGACACTTGATAGACCAACAATATATACCTCAATATATTTATTTATTTTGCATAATATCACATTATGGAGTTAAGGGACAAAAACTAGACTTTACCGCTAGTTGGAGACCAAACAAATAGTTCCGCTAATCAAGAGACCAAACAAATAGTTCCGCTAGTCAAGAGACCAAATAGATGTAGATGGACGTGAATAGTTTGCAGAGTCACTCCCCTGTACAAGAGGAACATTCTAGCTACCCAAGCAAAAAAAAGAAGATTCTTTTGCGAGAAAAAAAAAAGATGACAGAGTACTAGAGGGAAGCCAAAACCTTTTTGTAAGATTTGTAAAACAGTTAATATTACAATTCTGTACTTGGGAACTTTTCATATGGAGATTTTTAGATATTGCAAAACGTTTTTTTACGGGCCATTTCGCACACTATTCTTGCGTGTCCATAACACACACACATAATCTCTACAGAGAATTCCTTCGTTATAAATTCTGTAATGCACTGTTAAATACAGTATAAATTGTTCTACCGTTGCATTGTTGCACAATCACAAGGGGAAAAGGTAAATGATGGATGCCACACCCTCCAATCATCCGTTGTCTTCTTTGGATGTAACTTTGGCTGATTCTCCTTTTGTCAACTTCACAGGTAAGATCTCTGTACCTAGCTTTATTTGTATGTGTCATTGGCTTGTACCGGGCACATCACATGAACCTTTGGAATTTTCTGTGCTAGGCCTCCTCGATCATGTCATGTGATAGGACAAATGATTAAACAGGAGTACACACCTCTATGATTTCTGGGAAGCGGATCCTCTAACATCCTGAAGGGATGTCACGTAAGCTACAGTAACCGTGACATCCCTTCTTCACATCCATATAGTTAAGCCTAAAATGATTATAATTAAATTGCAAATTATAAATATACTATATACATTTATAAAAATTACATACAAACAAAATTATGGTGCAATAAAATTATTTTTGATTTTTTTGTACATGCTACAGTAAATTCGTATGGTGATTGCTGCAGTATTCACTGTAGCTCGTGACATCTCTTCTTCATTTTACATACAGATGTCACTGTAGCTTCGTGACATTCCTTCAGGATGTTAGAGGATCCACTTCCTGATTTCTGCATATTTTGTAACGTAGCAATGATGCAGGGCAGTCGCCTATTATTATTTTTACTAGAAAGGGCTGAATCTAGCTAGCTGGTCCAATAAGATAGCAAGATTTCCTGACCGCTTATGAAAAAGAACAAGATTTCAATAAAGCCACGACATATCCCTGAAATAGATGCAGCGCACTAGAGATGAGAGGACAAATCTGTGCAAGCAAAAGATAGAAGAGTGAGAGAACACCCTCTCAGGCTCTGAGTAGAGTGGCCAGTAGATTATCTCAACAAGTTCAGCAAAAACAAAATCACTCAACAAGCTCTAAAAAAATTGCACACAAAGACTATGTTCAGCAGAAATTTAGTAAAACGTATGAGACTGCCCCTGGTCTTTAATTTTAGTGTGCGATTATGTGCGCTGAATTTGGTGCTTGTTTGTAACGCAAGAATGAATTTATGAAAATATGATGCTTATGTGACATCCCCCCACCCCTTTGCTCTGATTCAAACTAGGCAGAAATTGCATCATGCAAATAATGTATATGGAAGATGCAAGATAAGGTGAGAGGACCACATCGATGAGGACATATATGGAACCGATAGCAAGATAAGAATCCCCTCATTGAAAAGAAAAAGAAACAAACATCAAGATAAGAATACAAAATCTACCTACACCTTATCAACTCAATATAATATAATACAATGATAATCAGGTAAAATGCAGAGCGCTGTCAAAGAAGCAAGCAAGTTTGCGGTAAGATGACATGACACACACATGTTTATTTTGGCGGGTTAACGATGAAGAACAGTGCTGCTATACTGTCAGTGGGGTCTGGATCTTACAGAACAGTGCTGCTATACTGTCAGTGGGGCTTGGATCTCAAAGAACAGCGCTGCCATACCAGCAGTACGGTTCGGATCTTGTCTCCTCAAGAGCCCCCATGTTTGCAAGCATCCAGCGGTGGGGCATCAGGCCATTGATTTCCACAGCTCAATTTGAAACAAGATTTCAATCTTGCTGTGAATCTGATGCATGATCTGAAACCTCTGTAGCATGATGATATCATAGTTGCAAGGACGCAAAAATATATGGAACCTATATATAAGGCTGATAATGAAAATTCAGTTTTTAGTAAAGCTGGGCCATATTCATTCATCTAATTAATTTAAAAGCTGCAAGGATTTCGTCGGATATAAATTTGAATTCGGTTTGGTGAGATCCACACGTTCTAAACATGGCACGAAACTGAAGTGAAGAGAGAATATTAGTTAGTTAGTTTGTCTCGTTGTGTAACATATGCTGCACCATATGTTCGGCACGCGTCTTCAGACTCTCTCATGTATCACTGTCAACATGTACTGAATGTATGTACACATATAGGTCCTTAACAGGTACAGCTTATCACTTTCAATTTGCCTAATACAAGCCCTGAAAGTCTCATTATTCGCAGAGAAAAGTCTTGAAGCCTCTCATGTCTCTTATCCCTTGTTGTTTCTGAAAGCAAATATTCCGCGAAGTACGCACTGCAGATGCACAGTGATAACACTTTGGTCCTTCGCGATTAAAACAGTGCACGGAGCTATCACAACCGTTACTTAACCCAGTCCTTGCGATTGATTGTTCTTGGAGTGGCCCATTGAATTAACTCACCGCTCAGCCCCGGAGCTAGACATTTGTTTTTTTTTTTTTTGAAACGGAGGAGCTAGACATTTGTCGAAAATGAGAGGGAGATTGCATATGTGTGCGCACCACGAGGACACATGCGGTCAGCGTGCTTTTAACCACACGCAGGAAATCGACAAACACTGAACCATCGTAGCCGATTGAAAACCAAACAGTTTTTTTTTTTGGTTTCGGAAAACACTATATTTCTAGATAGGGATGAATTAAACGGAGCGTGGATGGATAGAACTAAGTGCTGGTGGGAGAAGAATTGTATGTTTTGTCGGCTTTTGTTTTGTAATTCTCAATTTTGTTTCTACTCCCTTTGTACAGAAATATAAGAGCGTTTAGACGGAGGGAGTATATTTTAGCTATATTTTTGTTTTTTTTTCCAGAATGGACTAATAGTTTTCTCTTCATTTTCATCCATATTTTCAGATGATTTGGCGGCTAACTATACAAACTGTTCTTATGTACTTGATCGAATATATTAGTATGTCTCTTTTCGGTCCCATCATACTATGCCTGAAATCCGAAGTCCATGCATGTATGGATGTTGGATTACAATTTACAAGTGAATTGTCAGCTGCTTCTCTCCACCAGGTTGAGCTTTTACATGAACTGTCAACGCAGCTAGTACTTACTATGTTAGTGGGACGCCCGGCCGGCTGGAGAGCGCCTCTTCTTGCTCCGCTCCGGCGAGCACCACCGTCCACGTACGCTCGCCGCTGGCTCCTCCACGGCGACGGCATGCTCCACGTAACGGCTTAACGCGCATATCGCCCCGCTGGCCTCCACCTACAGCTTGTTCGCCGAGGGGACCTCGCCGTCGCCGCCATCAGTGGCGTAGCTAGCCCAACATGCCAGGGTGGTCCACCAATGCAAAATATTCACATAAATATATTTATTTATTATAAAAATATATTTTTCTCTATGCTATATAGATTATGGGGAAATTCCAGGGTGGTCCATGGACCACCCTGTCCACCCCCTAGATACGCCACTGGCCGCCATCGATGCTCCACAGTAACCAGACTGCTACGCAGCGTAGTAGACGGCGGCGCCGCCGCGTGTAGTGAGCTGGAGATGCGGGTTGCCGCGCGTATGCGTAGCCATTGGGCATTTAAAAGTGGGGGCCCGCGTGTGACGCGCCTCCTCGCCAACCGTCGCGCGGAGGCCCCGGAAGGCCGGTACGAGAGCCGCCGCGTTGCTGACTCCAGCGCACCGGAATCCTGACCTGGTCGGGGCTCGATCGTCTCGGTCGTCGGCTGCTCCGGATATGGGCCGCGCAATGGCCGCCTCCTATTGGTTTGCGTTCGCCCTTTGCGGCTAATTTCGCCTATCACCGCTCAAAAAAAAGAGGGGCTAATTTCGCCTCTCCATCTTTTTTTCCCCCGAAATCAAGGAAAATGCCTTTTTTACTCGAGAGAACAAGGAAAAGGTGCTTTTCATATTTTTGAGCTTTTAGTTCACAAAAGTCTATCCAAAACGGCATGCGACTGAATCTAGAAAACCCGCAATAGAAAAAAAATTGATTCTAGAAAAAATCTGCGTGCAATTATGAGCAATTCCATGAAGTCAGCCAACTTAAACCTACAATCAACAATAGTCAATTTCATGAAGCTTGAATATGGTCCGGATTTTCCCGCTCTAATATGTGTAGCCATTCGCTCTACTCTCCTATGCAGTCTCGTCATCGCCCGACCTCATTGACCTCTCATCAGCTAGCATATCCTCGATCGCTCCTCCTCTAAAAATGTCCAACCCTTGTCCTCGTCATCCTCCTTCCTCCTCGTCTCCAATGCTTGTCACCACTAGATCCAACCACACTAGATGTGTGAACATAAGCACAAGAGAGTCCGGACGTTCACCAGTACTCCTAATAATCTTTCCTGGCCACTGGGACCGACTTCATCGCCCCCTCTCAATCTCCCCTCAAAGTCGGTCTTGGTCTTTTCGTACCGGGGCGCAAGAAGCAGTGACGAAGACAACAAGGGGTGACCACATTTCTTCTTCTAAAATAACCATTAGATGATAGTGATCTCTAAATTTGTATCGAATCCCCACCCTGCCCCCCCACCCCCCACAACACACACACGTAGGAAATTGTTGTCTCCGTCTCTCACAAGAAGGTAGGATCAAGTTTAGGTAACTTCAGTGCTTGTGGTCGTCGCTAGGAGGGAGGTGCGGCGCGTGCGGCAAGCACGTTGTATTGACAAGATTAAAAATGAATAAAATGAAAGTTTTCTAAAAAAAAAAGAGAAGCATTTACCGGGATACTGTTGAGCCGCCCCCACAAGTTGAAGTACGAGTCTAGCTAGGAGGGAGGTGCGGCGCGTACGGCAAGCACGTCCTTGTCGCAGGTCCTTGATCTAGCCAGCTTAATTATCCGGTCCGTTGATAGCACATGCATGTAGAGCAACTTGCAAGCCTCGGGGACACGCACGGAACGGAACGGTGTGCCGCTGCATTCCATTCCGTGGATTATATTCCTCCTACGGATCTTGACCTGACACGCCGACAGCCTAGCCAAGTCAGCACCTACCATCTCATTCGAAGAAGAACTGTACGTGCCGATCCATCGATGGAATCATTTCCAAGAATTTCCTCAAGCTAGCTAGGACCCCGCCCGTACGCTTACTGCAGGGTCTTTTTCTTTCCGCCGTGCAAACTGTTTGCACTAGCAAGCACAGTTAATTAAGGTGTGCGTACGTACACACATACGTGTAGACCGGTCGAGGACCAGGGCAAGCAGCTAGTACTAGCTAGATACTAGGAGTATTGATCACTCTTAATTGTACTGTGGAGGGCTTGACAGTTGAAGGTTAGTGCACATGCATGCATTACATCGCGCTGCTGTGCGTCGCCATTTCACGGGCGACACGTACGTGCGTAGCTTTCTTCTTGTTCCAACTATAAGCCGGTCTCACTATTTGCGGAATTGATTACGGCAGGACAAACTTTAGCCGACTGCCGGCCGGAGAGATAAGCACGTACCGACGTACTACGCGCGCGCGTGCAGCAGGAATAACATGCATGGATGCAAACCGAGATGATCCTAGTTATAATCGACGAGGCTACTTGCTGTACAAATGTCTCTGGGTCTCTAGCTAGCTTTAGCTACGCACTGTTAATTTGGACTTTGGACGTACGTCTCGATCGGCACAGTCTGGTTTCTCTAGTCACACGCTAGCTAGCGAGCGAGCTAGCTTTAATGAGAATCCAAGAATGGGAAGAAGGAAGAAGCCGAGTCGATGGATCGAAAACGAAAAGAATGCCGACCTTAACAACAGATGGCCGAGCATATCTTGCGGTGCATTGCATTTGCATCCATTTTGTCTTTGGATAGGAAATGAAGGAGTGATGGACGCATGTGCACGTCCGTAGCCGCGGCCGCGTGTACAACGTGGCACTACTGTTCATAAGGCGGCAAATGGGTATAGCCAGCCGTAGATTCGAGATAGTAGATACTCTCTCCGTTTCAAAATAATTAACTTCCATTTATTCAAAAATGGATGTACCTATATACTAAAACATGTCTAAATACATCTATATTTTAACAAATGAAAGTCATATATTGTGGAACGGAGGGAGTAGACGGAAAGACCATGAAACGGTAGTGACAGGCAGGCTACGTACGTAGCGACCACCGCGCGCGCGCCTGCAACACATGCCGATCAGCCGCCACGACGATCGGCTATGGTATGCATGCATGGATGCGTTTCTTTCGGGCAGGAAGGAAGACGGCGCTGGCGGCTGGCGGCTGGGGCACTGTGCCTGCTTCGCCACAGGATCAGGATCACGGCCTGCCTAACCTACCTACGTGGGCCGCAGCTCCACCTTCCGCTACCGCCGACGCACAGCTAGCTCATCACAGACAGCTACTCCCTTCGGAAAAAAAACATCTTACGTTATAGGATTGAGGGAGTAGAGAACTCGCTGAATCGAAGGCGTTTAGCTAAAATTTCTGTTTCTCTAGATCAAGGGCGCCATCTGTGGCTGGAAATCCCCCGTTGACCCTATTTCAAATCCTGTAAACCTTAACATCCTTTAATGAAGTTCGGTTTACAGCTCAAGAAAAAAAAGCTAGCTCACCACATGTTCGATCGTGTTGGGATATACTTAGATAGATAAAAAAAATAGTAGAACCAAGTGGCCGCCTGTGCCTGGACGGTCCATGCAACCCAAAAGTCGTGCTAGTACTTCAGAACTGAACACACATGTTACACGCCCGACCATGTCGTGTCACAAACTTCTGTGATATTCCGTGGGCCGTGGCACGCATTTATGATGCAGACACGGACTCGTAGTTCAGATTCAGTGGATTGTCAGATAGATTTGCAGTTTCTTCCCGTTTCAGTGCAGTTTGTACACAATTTGCTGAAACATGCCAGCGAAGAAATATGCCCAAACCCTCCAAAACAAGGCCCGATACTTTTCCCTTTCACATATTTTCCTCTTTGTTTGGCAGAAACAACCAGGTCATTTTCTACTGGGTAAATACATTATCTGCTCAACGCTAGGACCCAATGGGAACTCCCACAGCATCGTCAAGATCCTCGTCGCATTGCTGCTCTATTCCCCTACCAGTCAAACAGTATGTACATACAAAAATTGCTCACGCTTTATGGGCCACAAAGGGTTTCTCTTCTGCTGCCCCCAACAAGTCCCTGCTTCGGTGCGTGCTCCGATAGTGTAGCCCATGTCAGACGCCATATCTGACAGTGCACACCAAATGATTGATTATATCAAGTTTCAGAAACAGACTTCAGAAAGCAGTGCAAGTGTTGACAGGAAAAGTTACCTCTATAACAACGGGAAGAAGATGTATTCGGCGTAGAAGAGGTTCCAGATGAACCGGTAGTACTGTGAAATAGCATCCTGCCACACAAACAAACAGCTAAAACTAATGCACTTGGAACGCAACAAATTTGCATATGCTATATTGCAACTTCAGAGCACTTCACTTTTGTTGGTTTTTAACATTCCATGCCCAGGACATGCAATGTCATGTTTCCTCTCAAGAACAGAGAGATTACATGTATAATACTGTATAATAATAATAATAGCATGGGGGAAACATTATAAGTAAGTCAAAATGATCCAAATTAAGATTGGTCGAACAATAAAAAGTAGAAACATTATAAGTAAGTAGTTTCTTCTACTTATTCTAATAAAATAACCAAAATATATGCAGGCTCACAAAAAACGCTTCTCCTGGCAATTTCAATTATAAACTCTTCATATTTCAAAAGTTGTATGATGAACAAGAGGTGTGACGAGTGTAAGTTAAAAGCCTCACCTTACTATACTTTGCTTGCTCCAGAACCCATGTCTGAAATCATTCAACATAACAAGACAGTTAGCAAAATAAATGCATTTGCTCCAGAACCAAAGGAATTAGCTACAAATGAGTTAAATGTGCATTTTCCATTGAGGTTTGGGTTCCTAAGCTGGAGTCCCCAGTGATCAATATATTTTGTTTGTCTACCTTTAATAAAGTTGGACCATTTAATTTTGGGTCTAAGAACAGTCAGTCATAAGTTAATTGTAAGCTGGTTATACAGGATTGAACAGGGAAGGTACAGATCTTAGAAACTCCAGGACTGATCATGTACAAGGGTCTATGTCTTTACCTGAAAAATTAAAGCAACCGCAAGAGCAGCATGAAAAGGCACCATTACAAAGCTCCTGAAAGCCTGCAATTTTGAAGAACACCATCAGTGCAACTGCATAAGGTAACACTGCTTAGTAGTAGTACAGAGGTATGCATCGAAGTACTGTCTTTTTCAAGAACATCCACTGATCAGAAAGGGATCCTTGGGATAAATAAATAATCATAGTAAACAATGCTGTAAACTTCTACTGGTCTAATTGACCATAGATGCATGTTTCCGTCATCTGAAACATTGCGGCAGTTTGAAATTTCACTAATTCAACTGGAAGGAGGGGAATAATATCAAAGGAAGGTCAAAAGCAGTAGAAATCCAACCTGAGGAATAAGAAAAGGTACTACAATAGCAGCAACATAATTTGCCAACAATAAACCAGAGCCAAGGAAGGCAATATTTCTGACACCAAGCTTTGTCGCCAAAGTTGATATTTGGAATCTACAGGGGGGGAACATTATAAGTACAAGATCAGTAATTCAATTAGTGATGTCCGTTAAACAAATAAATAGTTCAACAGAACTGGCTAAGGATGCTGACTGCTAATATTCTGTCTCAAAGGAAACAAAGTAGAGAACTGTCTACATTTGAAACATAGGGTCACTCAGTATGCAAAACCTACAAATTTTGTCCCTTTCTTTTGTGTTTTGAGATCTTTCGAACTGACTATGCTTTAAACAAGTTTTCCAAATATGGGCTGAAATCCCTCAATCCAGCTCTATATCATTTTGGCTCAGGCCACTTGTCAAGGCTAAGGGAAATAAGAAATAAACATTGGAGGCCAAAACTCACAATCTTAATTTGTATTGTTCTACTTTTCCGATTAGTAGTTTGTTCGACCAATTGCTGTCATTTTGTGGGCCTACAGTCGATAGCTTTTTCTAGCAACTAAGAATAGTGACACAAAAACATGGATGTGCACCATAAAAATACAAAGATAACTAGACGGTGGTCTACACAAAGGTAACCATTAGTTATTCATTTAAAACTGACATGATCTTTGTTGGAAAAACTAGACAGTGGTTGCTACAAAACCTTGTATAGACTATAAACTCACTTGCGGTCTCCTTCAACATCCGGAAGATCTTTGGTTATAGCAATGACCAGAGCAAATACTGTCACAAAGCATGTAATAAAAGCAACAGGCGAGCTGCAGATAGAAAGGTATCACATAGCATTAGACATCACAAATATCTCCAAATGTCTGCAATGAGATGCAACATACCACTTTCTAGATAGGTGTATACTGACTGTAGAAATACAATGCTAACTTAACAAAGTTCGAATAAACTTGCAGCAACTATTTACCTCCACTGGAATGCAAGACCTAATGCAGCTCTAGTAGCATAGTACACGCCAAAGTTGAGAAGGAATCCGCGAACCTGTAAAAAATAAACAAAAGATAGGTTTGTCAAAAAGAAAAAAAAATGCCCTAAAGTAAAATAGAAACATGATAGCATGGACTTGCAATAAAACAAGAAACATGATAGGACAGCATTACTCAGAGAAATTAGGTTTTCTAACATTATACGGAGGATTTGCGAGTTACGAGGAAACTAAGGACCTTACTTGATAAGTGAAATAAATTTTCGAGCAAATAAACTGTTCTAAGCACGCCTAAATATTTAAATTATTCTCCGAAAGGTGTCACAAGCCAATTTCTGTAAACTGGTATAGCTAGAATTAAGGTGGAGGTGATTCAGTCGTACTCTCATTTCTCCGAAGGAATATATTTCTAGAAAGTTCAATTATACACTGATCATGTTCTAAACTACAAAATAGGTTTGCGGCCATATTAGCCAATTAAATTTCCTTTTGTCCCTACAGCCTATCTTGTCATATTATAAATGCTACATAGAAACTGTCAGATCTTTGCAAAAAAGAGAGTGTCAGATACAAGTTAAATGAGTATGAAAATACCTACGAATGTATCTGCCATGTGGAGCCCATTATGAGCCCATGGAAATGGCGCAAAAGAGGGTTGCACACTTGCAGTTATGGATTGGCCAGCAACCACATCCAAGGCTTGCATCATTATCTTATGTTTAGTTGTTATATATTTGGTTTAGAGGCTTATCTCTAGTTATTTGGCTAGTCAAGTTTTTAGATCGACCCTATGTAAAACATGCAGTAGATCAAGTGCAGGACTGCAATTAAGAAGAGATAAATTAAGCAAAGTTTCCAGTTCATAATTGGGCTATCATTCCAAAATATAAGAGCTAAAAAAATGTCACTGTTACTATAGTAATGAAGAAGAGAGGAGCAAAGTACCGTTGCAATGATAAGAAAAGCAGCAACTGGATATCTCTTCAGTCTGAATGGAGGAACAGAATATATAGTGCCAAGAAATAGACCAAGGCAGTAAAGAGAGGTGATGAAAGGTCCAAAGTTTGAAACGACAATTGAGAAGCCCACCACTGCGAATGCTACGACCAGTAACCATGCTGACTGAACAGAGAGATCACCAGCAGCAATAGGTAAATATGGTTTGTTCACCCTGTTCAGTGGCATAAACTTAGAAATGACAGGTATAGCAGAAACATTGGCTGGGCTTTCATCATATGTTACTTTGAATGGTAATACTTTGTAGCGGCACCTTTATGAATGAAGGTAGTAAGTGTAAGTGAAGACAAAATTCAAGGGAGGCAATATACATACTTGTCAATTCCAATGTCATAGATCTGATTAATCCCAACAATGTAACCGTTGCCGCAGATCAAAGCTACAAGCCCATAGAGTGCTTTGAATACCAAGCGCCAATCGATCAATTGGGGATTCTCTAATAATGCTCTAGCAACCAAGGCTCTGCGTCCACACAACAGTTTCAGTACTACAAAACTAAATCTTGGTTCAGCCATTATAAATCTAAAGCTCAATGCTCACGTGGATCCCAAAGCAGTTCCACGAATTGTGTGTGGCCTTAAAAATCTCCAGCAGGAATCCTTTAGGTCTGATAGTGTCTTCGACAGTGGAGCTGGCCCAGCTGCACCAGCTTGAGAGCATGCCTGTACCAGGACCAGGTCAAATGAGTGTGATCATGACATGCGAAAAGACGCACAGTCACATAGTTACTTAAGTAAATGTGCTGGATGGTGAATATTAGAAAACAGTGAGTTGAATCATTACTAGTTCACATGAAAAATGTCTGTAAGAAAGGAAAGACAGGTAATCACATTCATCATGCTTTGTGAATTGCGATAACCCCCGATCTCTAATTTTCCCAACTGGCCAGCACTCAATGCCTATTTGGATTACAGTGCGCTCAAAGTTTGGACGAGACTACTACTGCATGATCACAGAAGCTTGTGGGTTGATCAGGACATTCCACATTACATCCTATCCTCCAATCTCAAATGCAGTAAAATTAACTTCTGAAACTATAGATAGCTCTCAGCAATGGTTGACCTCTTGTAACAAACACTGTAGCTTCTAGGTTGTAGCCTGTTATGGAACGTCGGGCTGCACATGGATGTGAAGGTTACTGGAGCATCTAGACCGTGGCTAAGCACATCACTGTGATGGTGTTATTCCTGATGCTTCTAAATCCTAGCATGCCCTAGTTTCCTTCAATTGCATATGAACATGGACAAGGGAAACAACAAAATAGTGTCGGTAAAAATAACTGTGAGCCCTCTCATATAGTGGATACAACATGCGATCCTCTTCAGCTGGCTTATATTACCGTCTCTTGTGAGAGTGAGGTGCGACATTTAATTTGCCACCCACCTTTTGAGTCTATGCATTTGTTGGTGTACTATGTACCACTTGAATTGTGGTAATTTACATTTCACTCAGCCACACAATGTTCAGGACTTCTGTGACCACTCATGGCATTATTTGCCTTAGGTAAGTTGCACGAGAAGCATCTCTAATCTTCTTTCAATTTATGAATTGACATAAAAAATGATATTTGTAGGAACACGAGTGCAACTAACAAATGCATTTGAACACCACATTAGCCAATAAGCATGTATTAAAATGGGAAACTCTTCCAAACGGTAGTCCGGCAAAAAGCTTAGCTCAGACTCCTTTGTAGCTGTTCTTGCCAGCAAATCACGGCCACGATCAGAACACGACAACTTGACAAGACGCATAGTCACATAGTCACATATGTGAAGATGAGCAAACAGTCAGTCCATTCATTACTAGAGTTCCCACGGAAGATGTCTGCAAGGAGGTAAAGGCTCCCCAATCTCCAATTTTCCCAAAGGGACAGTACACAATTCCTATTCGGATTACAGTGCAAGAGAAGCATTTCTCCAATTTTCCCAAAGGGACAGTACAACAATTCCTATTTCGGATTACAGTGCAAGAGAAGAGAGAAGCATTGCATAAGGACATTCAGAATTGCAGGTTTCAGCATTGCCGTCCTGTCCTACAAGCCTGAATGCAGTAAAATCGACTTGCTTGAATCATACAGTACGCAGCTGCCAACGGTGAATCAGTTCTTGTAACAAACACCGTAATCTCTTCGAAGTGGGCGAAACAGCAGCTCGATTTGCTTGAGCTAAATTGACAGACAGAAACACACCGCCGACAAGCCTACATCGCATTGAGCTAGAGATATGAGATCGGGATGCTTACCCGCACGGCGTCGCGCCGGCGCGGTCGGGCGGCGCCGCAGGGGGCGCGCGGGGACAGAGTGAATCGGGTGGAAGCAGAGGAGAAGATAGGTGAAGCGGCCGGCGGCGACGGGCGCCTGCCGCGGCCGGCCGGGGCGGGGAGGAAGCGAGCGGCGGTGGTGGGCGCGTGGGAGGGGACGGGAGGGGAGGCGAGGGAAGCCATGGGTGGGGAGGGGAGTACACTCTCGGCCTTTCCCCCCTGCTCAGCCACCCGTCGCCATTGGGGATTGATGAGGCTGGAGGCAGCGAGTGAGAGGGGATGCCACGGGGGCCGTCCGTGCGCTATCCTATGGCTGTGGTAGGTGTTCATGCTATGGTTGAGCATTTTTCCTTTTTAGGAACGCAATTTTTTCATCCCCTTTATTTTCCACTCCGGTGGTAATTAATTGTTGAAAATTACAAGAACCGAGAGCCAGCCACGAAGAACTGGTCTTCGAAAGGGTTGGACTTCTGAGTTGCGGCTCATGAAGATAGGTGGTAGGGGCATTTTTTGATGTGGAGGTTTCTCGAGCATCTATAACGTGTAGGTGGATCTCACTGGATCAAAAACGATGTCTCAAAGTGTCATTCCTTATGCCTCAAAATCCTACTGTATCATAGTTTTCTTGATATTAAGATGGACATGAATACCGCAAAATGTTATCGTCAGACATGATTGCGAGTCCTTTCATGTAGGGCACATGACATGTGAGTGATGCTCTTTGGCTTGCTTATATCACATTTTCTTGTGAGAGTGGGCGGTGGTACTTTAATTTCTTATCTACGTTTTCATCCGTTGCATTTGTTGTTGTACTACATACATGTTAGTTGTTGCAATAATTTAGGTTTCACTCATTCATACAAATTTCAGGACTTTGTTGACAATTCATGCCATCACTTGCCTTGCGTAAGTTGTATAGGGAACATGTTTAATATTTTATTTGATTTATATAATAATATAAAAACACTAGTTCCATGACCAGATGCATTTACACCTGATAATTGTCGGTAAATATAATTAAAATTAGCAAACTCTTCTCCTTGGCAGGCTAGCACAAAGCTTTGATCAGACTCCCTCGTAGTTGTCTCGTCGGTAAGTTAATTCTTACAATGATTAAGGTTTCACTCATACAAAGTTGAGGACCTTGTCGATGATTGATGACATTACTTTCCTTGTGTAAGTTGCATGGGAGCATGTTTAATATTGTCTTTAATTTATAAATGATATAAAAACACCTAGTTCAGTGACCAGATGCATTTGCACATGATAATTGCTGGTGAATATAATTAAAACTAGCAAACTCTTCTCCTTGGTAGGCTAGAACAAAGCTTTGGTCGGACTCCTTCATAGTTGTTTCCTCTACAAGTTAATTCTTACAATAATTAAGGTTTCACTCATACAAAGTTGAGGAATTTGTTGACGACTAATGTCATTACTCCCCTTGTGTAAGTTGCATGGGAGCATGTTTAATCTTGTCTTTAATTTATAAATGATATAAAACACCTAGTTCAACGACCAGATGCATTTGTACATGATAATTGCCGGTAAATGTAATTAAACTAGCAAACTCCTTGGTAGGCTAGCACAAAGATTTGATTGGACTCCTTCATAGGTGTTTCCTCTGTAAGTTAATTTTTATAATAATTAAAGTTTCACTCATACAAAGTTGAGGACTTTGTTGATGATTGATACCATTACTTCCCTTGTGTAAGTTGCATGGGAACATATTTAATCTTGTCTTTATGTTGCATGGGAACATGTTTAATCAGATCTGGAGTCTGTTTCTGGCCTTGTGAGAGAGGGATTTGTCGTTGTCGCTATCACCAACCCTTCTCCATCAACAATCTCATGATGCTCAGATCCATGTGTGAGTAATTCTTCTGTATGCATATGGAGGTAGATGGGACTTGGATGAGAATTCTTATGTAATTGTTGTTAAATTTGTTAGGCCTTGATCCCTAGTGACGGTGTCCTGGACTAGGGGGTACCAATCTAGTTGGCCCACAGTCCTCGGGCCGAGTTTATGGGCCACCATTCTCATAAAGAAGGACCCCGGAAGCCTCGCACCTCAATGTGATCAAGACAGCTTCTGCCGAAGACTTGACGTGTACTCAATGGACATCTTCGGCCGCCGCCATGTGCGTCCTTAGATTTGCAACCGACCATGTAACCCTATGTACCCCCCTGGCATGTATATAAGCCAAGAGATTTAGCCTGTAGAGGGTATCCGATCATAATCACATCCACCTAGCCTTAGGGTTAGAACACAACTTACGATCTCGAGGTAGATCAAGCTTGTACTCGATACACAACAATCAATGCAATCAAAGCAGGACTTAGGGTATTACCTCTTCGAGAGGGCCAGAACCTGGGTAAACGTTGTCTCCTTCATCCCTTGTTCCCCATTGATCTGAGATCCATAGCTCGAGACCCCCTGCCCCGAGGTATGCCGGTTTTACCACCGACATTGGTGCTTTCATTGAGAGTTCCGTTGTGTGAAAAAAGATCAATGGCTAATCTGCAGATCAACTACAACACTAGGGATGGAATTCGAGCCGAGTCGAGCCAGCTCGGCTCGACTCGCTACATATCGTTTCATTAATGAGCTAGCTCGACTCGACTCGTTACTATAACGAGCTCAACCCCAAGATTGGCTCGACTCGTATAACTCGCGATCTGGCTCATTAAGCTCGTTAAAGATATAAACATAAAGCCATCAAATATGGTAAAAATGATTATGTATATATTAAACATATATATCACTAAACGATTGTAATTTCCTTGTAATGCATGAGTCTCCTAGGCGGCTGGGCCTTGTGTTGTGCGCCTGGGACGTAGGCACTGGCGGAGCTATGTCTTAGAGAAATAGGCTATGGCCCGCCCATCCTGTAGCAAGTTTAATGGAGATTGATGGGTAAATTAGGCCAAGCTGGTAAAAATAGTTGGCCCTCTTTGTACTGGCCCGCCCAGGTTTGGGGCCATAGCTCCGCCACTGGACGTAGGATGATGAGTGGCTGATCTTTCTTTGTATTAGGAATGGCCGATTTATTGTATCGAGCCTAACGAGTTACACGAGTACTCGTGAGATTGGCTCGTTTAACTTGGTCTATAAATGATCTTAAACTAAAGCTCGGCTTGACTCGTTATCTTCGAGTTCGAGTCGATTCGAGCCGAGTCATGAGCTACTTATTTAGCTTGCGAGCTTCGAGCTTTTTTTCCAGCCCTATGCAACACTGTCCATGACGACATCTTTGTCCCTGGCCAACTCTTCGTGTTCGGCAACATGGTTCTTCACGCCAACTCGACGGTCCATGTAGCACCCGTCAAAAACTTCGCCCCAGACCAGGTGGTCACTTTCGGGAGCTTGGAGTACACTGCAGATTCTCGTGGTGAGCTCATCCTTTCTAGCTGGGCTCCAGACCGGATCAAAAACCTTTCGGCTGTCGTGGGCTCAACCACGGAGCTGATCTCTGATCTGAACCTCGGATCTGACCTCCCGATGAATCTAGCTCCATCAGAGGAACCGACCACTGCCACGCCAGGCGAGGGCCTCGACATCGAGTTAGGCCCCGACCCCAATCTAAGTCTAAACATGGACCCTGCATCAAGTACGAATCTGATCTCTCCAACTGGTGGCCTAGAGCCAAACAGGGCCAACCAACACTTTGAGCTCGCGTCAAGCAACGCTAGTATCATGCTTCGAGTATGCCCGGACTCTAGCCAGACCATGAACCTCGAAGATCTGTCCCGCCTTAATGAGATGTTGAATCATATTTAGAGTTCATCAATCTCGAATGACCAAACTTCGGTCCATGAAGAGATCAGACTTAAAGTCGATGACAGGGAATTTTACACCCCACCCACCACCCATCACCCACCTAGTCGCCACAGTCGATGATTTAACCGACGCGTTAGACTATGTGAAGGCCATCGACATGGATGAAGATATCGACGCCACTGCGAAAACTACTACGCCTTTGGCTAACACTGGCAGATGGACTACAACGTCCACTTACGACATATATATGGTGGGCACACCTAAGAATCCCGCGCGTCATCGGCGTAGGCACGCGAAAGGTACCAACGGGGGCCCAGCGGGTATGACACTGTCGCCACTGACAACGGTGCATGGGACGACGAAGCTGAGAACCAGGGAGAGGACATTCAAGCCTCCCTAGAACAGCAAAACAACCCCACAAGAGTCCCTGAAGATGAGGACCATAATGATCTCTTCGACGGGGCCGACATCAATTATTTACCTTAATTTGAGGAGGATGAAAGCCACAGAACTGAGGACTATGTAGTCCCCGAGGACCCTTTTGACAAAGAACGGTTCAGACGGCGCCTGGTAGCCACTGCCAGGAGTATGAAGAGGAAGCAACAACAGCCGCAAGCCGATCAGAACGTGTTGAATGACAAGTGGGTTCGAGTTATGGACACAAATGTAAAATACCCTAAAATTATAGGTCGAAGAAATATAGAATGAAATCATTGTTTCCTTAATCAAAAGAAGAAGATGCTTCAAACAAGTACATATCCTCAACACAAATCACCTATGATGTGTTGCAACTGCTTCTGTACATGCAACCACAACCGGAATCCATTGTACATAACAAAGAACTCAGAAACTTGGCCATGCGATTCAAGTCATAAATTGAAGTACACTCCACACTAAAATACAAGAGAAAATCATCTCACTACTAGAAAAAACAATCATAATTAGAGAAAAAAGATGGGTATCCTAACCCAACAACTTGAGGCTTAATAGAGGCAATTTTCATTCTACCTACACTACAAAGTAGAGCCAACAGAGAGAAACTGCTCCTCTCGAAAGATGGTTCTCTCTTACATTCTACCTACATGCTACCTCTTGAGCATGCGTTGGTTTTCCCTTGAAGAGGAAAGGGTGATGCAGCAAAGCAGCGTAAGTATTTCCCTCAGTTTTTGAGAACCAAGGTATCAATCCAGTAGGAGACCACACGCGAGTCACCTCGTACCTACAAAAACAAATAAGAACCTCACAACCAACGCGATAAAGGGGTTGTCAATCCCTTCACGGCCACTTGCAAGTGTGAGATCTGATAGAGATAATGATAATAAGATAAATATTTTTGGTATTTTTATGATATAGATTGAAAGTAAAGATTGCAAAATAAGATAGATTGGAAACTTGTATGATGGAGAATAGACTCGGGGGCCATAGGTTTCACTAGTGGCTTCTCTCAAGATAGCATAAGTATTACGGTGGGTGAACAAATTACTGTCGAGCAATTGATATAAGAATGAATAATTATGAGAATAGCTAGGCATGATAATGTATATAGGCATCACATCCGTGACAAGTAGACCGACTCCTGCCTGCATCTACTACTATTACTCCACATATCGACCGCTATCTGGCATGCATCTAGAGTATTAAGTTCATAAGAACAGAGTAACGCCTTAAGTAAGATTGTTGGAAATATGCCCTAGAGGCAATAATAAATTAGTTATTATTATTATATTTCATTGTTCATGATAATCGTTTACTATCCATGCTAGAATTGTATTGATAGGAAACTCAGATACATGTGTGGATAAATAGACAACACCATGTCCCTAGTAAGCCTCTAGTTGACTAGCTCGTTGATCAATAGATGGTTACGGTTTCCTGACCATGGACATTGGATGTCGTTGATAACGGGATCACATCATTGATGTGATGGACAAGACCCAATCCTAAGCCTAGCACAAAGATCGTGTAGTTCGTATGCTAAAGCTTTTCTAATGTCAAGTATCATTTCCTTAGACCATGAGATTGTGCAACTCCCGGATACCGTAGGAATGCTTTGGGTGTACCAAACGTCACAACGTAACTGGGTGGCTATAAAGGTTCACTACAGGTATCTCCGAAAGTGTCTGTTGGGTTGGCACGAATCGAGACTGGGATTTGTCACCCCGTGTAAACGCGGAGGTATCTCTGGGCCCACTCGGTAGGACATCATCATAATGTGCACAATGTGACCAAGGAGTTGATCACGGGATGATGTGTTACGGAATGAGTAAAGAGACTTGCCGGTAACGAGATTGAACAAGGTATCGGGATATCGACGATCGAATCTCGGGCAAGTACAATACCACTGGACAAAGGGAATTGAATACGAGATTGATTGAATCCTCGACATCGTGGTTCATCCGATGAGATCATCGTGGAACATGTGGGAGCCAACATGGGTATCCAGATACCGTTGTTGGTTATTGACCGGAGAGTTGTCTCGGTCATGTCTGCATGGTTCCCGAACCCGTAGGGTCTACACACTTAAGGTTCGATGACGCTAGGGTTATAGGGAATAGATATACGTGGTTACCGAATGTTGTTCGGAGTCCCGGATGAGATCCCGGACATCACGAGGAGTTCCGGAATGGTCCGGAGGTAAATATTTATATATGGGAAGTCCTGTTTTGGTCACCGGAAAAGTTTCGGGTGCTATCGGTAACGTACCGGGACCACCGGGAGGGTCCCGTGGGTCCACTAGGTGGGGTACCTGCCCCAAAGGGCTGCGTAGGCCAAGTTTGAAGGGGACCAGCCCCAGGTGGGCTGGTGCGCCCCCCCACCAGGGCCCAAGGCGAAGAAAGAAGAGAAAAGGGGGAAACCCTAGGCTCAGATGGGCCTAAGGCCCACCTAGTGGTGCGCCCCCCTCTCTCCCCCCTTGGCCGCCCCCTAGATGGGATCTAGGGCTGGCCGCCACCCCTAGGGGTGGAAACCTAGGTGGGGGCGCATCCCCTCCCTTTCCCCTATATATAGTGGGGGTTTTGGGCTGCCATACACACGAGAACATCTCCTTCTTGGCGCAGCCCTACCCCTCTCCCTCTCATCTCTTGCGGTGCTTGGCGAAGCCCTGCTGGAGTACCATGCTCCTCCACCACCACCACGCCGTCGTGCTGCTGCTAGATGGAGTCTTCCCCAACCTCTCCTTCTCCCCTTGCTGGATCAAGGCGTAGGAGACGTCACCGGGCTGTACGTGTGTTGAACACGGAGGTGCCGTCCGTTCGGCACTAGGATCATCGGTGGTTTGGATCACGACGAGTACGACTCCATCAACCCCGTTCACTTGAACGCTTCCGCTTAGCGTTCTACAAGGGTATGTAGATGCACTCTCCTTCCCCTCGTTGCTAGATTACTCCATAGATTGATCTTGGTGATGCGTAGAAAATTTTGAATTTCTGCTACGTTCCCCAACAGTGGCATCATGAGCTAGGTCTATGCGTAGTTTCTATGCACGAGTAGAACACAAGTTGTTGTGGGCATCGATTTTGTTAATTTGCTTGTCGTTACTAGTCTTATCTTGATTCGGCGGCATCGTGGGATGAAGCGGTCCGGACCGACCTTACACGTACTCTTACGTGAGACTGGTTCCACCGACTGACATGCACTAGTTGCATAAGGTGGCTAGCGGGTGTCTGTCTCTCCCACTTTAGTCGGATCGGA